GGAGTGTACTAGTCATCCTAAGCTGAATTACGAAAGACGCAGCCAACCTGATCGAGTCGAAGGCTAGCTGTGGGTGCCTCTAACGGAGCACAACCACGGTAGAAGCTAGGGTCAGTTTGGAGCTAATCCCAACCCATCTACCGTGGTTATCGTCAACATTCCCTGTGGGAGGAAACCGGATTAAACCAACGACATATAGTGCGAACGGACTATAGTGCGAACGGACTGTACGAATGTACCAATTGTACGAACGTTTTGCATTTTATGGTATAATTAATCTGCATTGATCTAAAAATATATCAGTATATAATTTTCTATTTTATGTACTTGGGATTTGAGCGATTAATTATGCGTGGGTGTACGGAAATTTGATTCAAATTTAATCGAAATTTAAAATTTTCTACAATTTGCAAAATCACGCACGAAAATTTGGAAGGTATCATCGTGACCTCCAATTCGGAAGGCAACTTGATGGTAACATTTGAATTGACGTTTATGCATGGCAGACCCCTAAAGCAAACTCTTAGCTGTTCGAAGTTAGCGCAATTCGTACTTTGAAACTGAAGCATAAATTAACTATACTTAGCTATCGAAAACTAATACACCTTTCCTTTCAAATGCGATTTGAAGTTTCCCCTTTTGCTGTCTGTCATAAACATTAACCCTAACTTCTCTAATTAACAATGTACCAACACGATATACGACCCTACCGGGTAAGTGGACCTCTAGGGGGCATATGGTCATAGAAAGAACATAATTATAAAGCCATAAGTGGAGCAGTAAAAATAGGGCTAAAGGAAGCCAAAGGAACTAACAATTATAACTAATGCATTAATAGGATAATGATTTATAGGCTTTTAATAGTTTATCAGGCAGGATAAACTAAATCGTAAGATATCCCTTTCCACACTGAAGCGAAACCCTGAAGTTTCGCATGCTGTTAGTTGAATTAATTGCATTCCCAATTAAAATTTTATAAATATACTCACACACACATTGGGTATAATTATTCGAAATATATTTTACTATGCTGACTTATAAGCACAAAGTATCACAATTTAGAAAAAATATCCATGTGTACAAATTGAATGGGTGCAATTCACACTGACCGTACTCTAAGGCATGGAGATAAGATGAGAACGAGTATAGGCTATCTTTGGGTCCTGTAAAATTGAGACATTGCAATATTAGCATATCGTGTGAGCAGGCAATTAAGTCTTACGTCGAATAATCCAAAGCGGTTCAAGCGGTACCAGACTTGTTCTAGCGCTAACGAAATAACGGTTTGGTGTTGTAATCATGAAATATTCAATTGCAATCTATTTTGGTGCAAAAATTTCCAGGCCAGGATGGTATAAAAATGGGCGTCGAAACACCATTGAGCATTCAGGTATACAGCTTCGAAAGGCAACCAGAAAATTAGAGCCACGCAAGAGAGTTAGGATCAGTATTTACTAAAGAAGAAGATATAAGATGAATTTGAAATCTATCATTTGTATGGTAAGTTCTGTCACAGATGTACATTGTATGAGATGTCCATAGATGTGCATCTATACAAGTTGAAAGGCAACATATTGCACCAGAAATTTTCATTTAACAAAACATTTTGAAACTTGGTATCGTTGAATTAAGGATTAAAGTTTAGATTTGAAATTTCGAAAAACAACTTCAATAACCGAAAAGGATTTAGGACTAGAGAGTATGTCCAAATAAGATTACTTATATCTTATGGCAATGACGCAGCATGCCACTTAAACACTCAAGAATTTCACAACGCAACAAAGATTTCTTAAAGGAAGAACAGTCGGCTTGTTCAAAATTTGTATTTGGATTAAGAGAATCGATTCGAACATGATCTTGACATGCACACAATTGATGCCAAATCAGATTATAAGTATTATTATTATTATTTAAAAATCTTTTGACATGCTAGCCAACACCATTCCAATAAGGATGGTTTTTCATTGACCGGTTGAAAAAATGCATCAAATTCGGTATTAATTAGTTGTTACAGCTGAAAATACCCTATTCCACATCACCTTTGCAAAATACCATAAGCCGGCAAAAAGTGAAATAATTATCCATGCATGGCAAAATTCAAAATCCAGCGACAATGTCAGAGCAATGTTTGACAGGAATTAAATGGTCTCATGGTTCTTACGAGTTACGAGGACTTGAAACTAAATTCACACAATCTGAGTTTAGAAAGATTGTACAAGGCTTTGGTTCTCCCCACATTTTGAGTCATGGCTATACTGTTCCCTGCATGGTTTGGGATAACTGTTCTGTTGAATTAAAATGTCGATTAGAACGACTGCAGCGGAATAAAGCCGGTTGAATTATCACTGGAGACAGATATTACTCAACTCTAACGGAAACGTTGTTGAAATTAGGGTGGGAAACCCTTCGGGATAGAGGAAACCAGCAATTATTGAGTGCCGTAAATGAATGTATTGCTAATACTTTAAGTTGAAACAGCCTTTTTCAAATGTCTAACCGTAACTGCTATGATTTGAGAAGCAACAGACAGTAACAAGTTAGAACTGCAGGCTAAACTCAACACTAATGCATTGAAGAAGACTGTCGGCTATAGAGGAACTGCAATGTGAAAATGTTCATGAAAAATAAGATGACTATTTTCTTGTTTGTCTTCTCATACACATGACAATTTGTGCGATATACTCTTGGAAATATGGGATGATTTGGTCTCTAAAATTCCGGCGCCATCTCCCGAAACATTTGCCATTCGGAGTAATTTGTTGCCAAATTGCAATTGTAATGACTTAATGTTAGCAAGACCTTCCTTAGACTTCAAGAACTGCAATACATGATAAGATTTAAATTCCTAGTAGAGAGAACAAGATGGAATCTTTTAATCCCTATGAAAAGATGATCTATACAATATTAGTATAAATGCAGTATTGAAAAATGATGATTGGCTCTTAATTTCTGATTGGGTCCCTCATTTGGTCGTTAGTTGTCGCTGGCACGACAAGTGGCTGATGTGAAATAGTCTAATATAATAATAGTCTTTTGTGTGTTATATACAAATCAGTCTTAATGAATGCAGAGTTTTATAAAGTTTTGTTGACACTCTATTACATAAGCGACAACTAACGACCAGCGACAACTAACGACCAAATGGAAACTAGGCTTAACTCTGAGGCAGTAGTTACTGCTCAGACTGCTCTGAGCAGTAACTATATTGCTTTCAAGACAAAATGGCATTACACTTAAAAAAATAAGGTACCCCGTGGGTCACAAAAATTTGCAAGAACGCTATAAACCTTTTTCATTTTAGCTGTGTGTGATTTTCATCCACGTATTTGTCAAACAATGCAGTTCCCAAGCGGTGAACTGTTCCTCAGCAACCAGCAATCTCAGGAGCCGTTACATGCTGGTGAGCAAAACAAACAGTTTAACACAATCCAAAAGGAATCTCGGGAACAAAGTCTCTTCTTCGGCTAAATGCCCCTGGACGTGGGGAGTGACCGTTAATGACAACCGTTATCCCAGGAAAATCGCCTACGCCATGTGTACCCCAAGCACTTGCCAGCAATATTACTGCAGACCTGTGAAATATCATATGATGGTATTGACAAGAAACGGATCCGAGTGGGGTGTTGGGTATGAAAAAATAACGATGGCTTTCGTTTACACCGGGTAATATACGATGTTCTTGAAAAACTCGAACATTTTACACATTTTTGAAAAGTTGAAACATTTTAGCCTTTAGGACATTCGCATTGCATGTTTTGTTAGACATAGTTATAATATGAAGGCCGATTTACTACAACTGTAATAATGTATACGAACACTTAGATTGTTTTACTCATAATTTTTCTATTTATCAATTTTGTAACTTATAACTAAACTGTAATTCTTAATTAATATTCATTTACTCATCATTAAAGTTTATTTATATGCTTTCATTAATATTGTGGCTGTGTAAATAGTAAACTCCCTTAAAGGCGCAATAGAGAGTTTAAGCAAAACCACGAAGATAAAGTATAAAGACGAATTTTTGCCCGTCTTCACAATATAACGGGTGTCTTCCCTTTATATATTCATGTCTTGCCGTTTATGACTAGTTTCTACTGACAAAACAACGAAACATGAAGATCTATCCTGTCTTTGCTTTTCTACCTTCGTTCAAAAGTTCCGAGACGAATTTTGCAAAATATTTGTTCTAAACGACAGAACGAGGGCAGAAGAACGTATAGTCTTGCTCGCAGCCAGAACTGAGTTTCGTTCCAAGGAAACTGGAAATTTGGCTAGCCGACGAACGAAGCCTATAGACGGGATATATAGCTACACGTCTTGCTGTTTTGTCACGGTATGGATTAAGGTCAGCCGGCGTTCATAAACAGTTGGACATAAATCTATAACCTGGGTGATTGCTAGATAGTATACTTCAAAATAAAGTTTCCGTTTTTATAACGTAGAAAAAACTATCCTAACGCAAAACTAAACCCTAACCCCACCACTAACCCTAACTTATTTTAAAAATTGATATAAAAACGGAAACCTTATTTCGAAGTATACTTTATCTAACAATTGCCCTATACCTGTCTAGGTTCATCAACAATCGCTGATCCCCCAAACTCAGTATGCGCAAGATAATTGTGCATGCATGCAGTCGGGCAAGAATTATCAAGTTCGTCTTCGATTTTGTTGTATAATTCCGTGCAGGTATAGTTTATTTTGGCCATGTATTGTATAATCGTGACAGAAAAATTGCTGTTACACTTTTGTACATATATAGTTATCCAGTTATCATTCGAAGGCTTTCAGAAATTATTGGGGGGGGGCAGCTCACCAGCATCGAGCAGTAGTTTAAGATCACGGTGTCGATTCCCCACTTAAATATACACTAGAATCACTCGGGTAGTCTAGACGTGTCGACAGTTAACATATGGTTGCTATGTAATTAACCCTTATTGTCAACACGGCACATTGTTCGGTATTTTTCAACAGCATCCGCGAAAATCATTAGTACATAGGAACGACGCTAGGACAGCTGATATAAGTGTTATGAAATACCACGGCAGCCATTGCATAGAAATTGTTGGTAAAATTACGAGAATTGGTCGTGTTTAAGTGAGCCTCCGAGGATATGGCAACCTCCTTGCAGTTGACACGGACGCCATCTGGCAGACATCCTTAGTAAGTGCAATTTGCATTTTTCTATAATGTTCTATCTTGACCGTTTTTACCAAGCTTTTCCCGGCCAGTTTTATCAATATTTTGCTTGTCTTTGGGTCAGCGTTTGCCAAGAGAGAATCAATTCTTATAAAATAGTCGCTAGAAACGATGGATTCTTAAGGAAACTTTGCAAATCTGGGGACTTTCTCAAATATAACATATATTACATATGGTAATGACAAGTGCAGCACAGCTGGGCATATTAAAGACATGGGGTTATAAGGTATCAAGGTATGATATGAATACAAAAATGTCTGAAAAATCTCGACTTTTTCAGTCTTACTTTTTTCTGCAGCAATTTTCGAATGTGGGTTTCCATTCATGCGTGGAGTGCAAACGAGTTCTAGCTTTATGCTGCTATAATAAATTTTTCCTCATACGAGAAGAGTGCTTTCCCCTGTTTGCCATTGACATTGTAGTTTACCTTGTTTAAAGCCAGCAGCAATTCGATGTTATTGAAGAAGAAATTTATTTATCTACTTCTTGATATTCTGTTTCTTGAGTCTGGCACATGGCTTATCAATGTCAATAGGTGAATCTTTGCCGGGAAACTTAAGCTGAGCAATTCCTTGTTCGATAATCGTTGCATAATGCTTTATGCCTTTTGAAATTTTAGAAGAACATTACATTATTTGGAAACAATTCAGGCACATAGATAACTTAGTTGTACTCATTTTAAAGAATTAAAAGTGGAATAGCAAATGGCCACTCGTCTCACATGTGACTGAGGTGTGATTATAATCAGAGCATCTTACAACAGTTGAACTATGGTCGCAAAGACGAGAGGTTAAAAGACATGCCATATCTGTGCCAGACACAGGCATCCTTTCCTTGTTTAAAACACTGTGGGTTCGCAACAGAAACTATTTCTATATCTCAATTGCAAATATTATACTACGATTTTTTATAGTTTTTTATAACGTTATATATGAAAGTTTTTTATATAAACTTTCAATTTTGCTTTTACTAATCTTCAATCCGCAAACTAAATTGCATATATATTGCACAAATTTGTCTACCATTTCTTCAATCACAATGGAACAGAAAGAATCCGGTCTATAGACTAGTAAGATTAACTTAGTTTACATTATCAATTTCAGACACTAGGTTTTCGTGTTATAAGCCTATGCGTAAAAAAGTTTGTCTTTTGTCTGCTTTGTCTCGTTAGTATTTGATTAGTGTTCATGAATACTGAATGACAATGTTTATTTTGAAAGAAAAGCATTATTTACATTGCCGCGTGAGCTAATTTGATGGAAATTTTTCTGTTGTATTTTCATTGCAGTATGTCTCGTTGGTCGAGAAATGAACCAGCTTCGTCTATGATGTACCTCGGAAACAGTGACCATTGGTCCAAGTTAAAACACAGGGTAACTAAGCTTTATGATAAATTTATGCTAGATTGGACGGCAGAATAACTTTATCAGCTCTAAACTCTTCTCCAACATGTTCCTCTTAACCGAAGTCCAATTAGGACCGTAGCGAGCGAGGGGTGTACGGGGGTAACATCCTCCCACAATCTTCATTCTTGTGCAATTTCAGGTAAATTTCTGTAAAGTGACGTATAGCAAGTGAACACAATAAATGTTCAAATATTCAAAATTTTCTTGGGGGCATCGCCCCTGAACTCACCTCCTACATTTAGCCCCCATATCTCATTGTACTAATAATATACTCTCTCGAAAGACTAACACAAACTACTTGATGGTACTCATGACAAAACTGCACTAAGTTTCAGAATATCAACATTTTGTTGACGTCTCACTCGATTGAATAATGGTTGGAGCGTTTTGTAAATGGAACTTATCGAGTGGAAATTTGTATACATTTATTACACCTATAACCAGGAACGATTGCAATTTCCACTCAATAATCCGTTTCCATCCAGTAAACCTTCCAACTATTATTCAATCGAGTGAGATGCCCGACAAAATCTAGATCTTGATATTTACCCATACCTTGACATGGCACTGATGGCAGTACCTTATAGTATATATACATGGACTTGTGGTTAGAGCTCGACAATGGCCTCTGTAGCTCAGTTGGTTAGAGCGCTGCTCCGAAATCGCAGGGCCGCAGGTTTGATTCCTGCCAGGGACCTATAATTTCATTTTTTACAGCTGTTCCTGCATGGTTAGGCCTGATAAATGTATATGGAATGGACCATTCCCCAATTAACCAAAATTTTGAACTCAACAAGTCTAGACAAATATTTCAACACAGCTTGAAAGAGCATCACAAAATTAGTAATATTCCAAAGTTTCGTTGCAAAATGTTGTAAAATGTGGATAATATAGCCTTGCGAAGTTTGCAATTTTCAGTCATTTTCGATTACAAACGGGAAATGGTTACCATTTCTGTGCGTAATACAAAATGACTGAAAATTACAAACTTCGCAAGGCTATATTATCCGCATTTTACAACATTTTGCAACGAAACTTTGGAATATTACTAATTTTGTGATGCTCTTTCGAGCTGTGATGGAATTTTGTCTAGACTTGTTGAGATCAAAATTTTGGTTAATTGGAGAATGGTCCATTTCCATTCGATAACTTTCTGAAACCCTCCAAGTAAATTTCAGACACTGTTTTGATATAATTATGTAAAACGTAATTTGCGACGTCGCTGGGTCCAGTGCATGCATACAGGGGTAAACTGACTATAGCCCTAGACACTTGGAAAAAATCCTGCGCTGTTTGTGCGAATCATTTTAACAAAATATGAACACTCCACGACGTGAAAGCGGTAAAAAGAGAATAAAATTTAAATTTGGCGGCATGACAAAATACGATGGCGAAAATTAAGCGGTGGATTTTGGCCTTCGAGATTCAGAGTTGGCATGGACTAATTGTCAACTGCAGACGTTATATATGCTCATATTATCTCATTCATCACACAAGGTCTTCTTCGACCGATTTGAGGCTGCCTTTAGTTAAAACTGATATCAGCAAAGCTAAGATATCCTATAGAGGCGCAAGTCTTTTCAGTTCCTTACCTAGCAATCTAAAAACTATTGAAAGTTATACGGTTTCATCTTTCACAATAAAACTTAAAGAATTGTTTCTCCAACTCAACTCAACTACAATGTCAATGTACAACATGTGGACGAATTTCAGGGACGGAACTACCGAACTAGACGCGATAATTGGGGTGGGGTGGGGTGGGTGTATATTCATATATTCATGTTCACAAAGCGTAAAAACAATCGCTTTCAAAAGAAATCCGTCGGGCAGAACACAAATAATAGAGAGGTTAAGATACCCCGGTTTCGGTGTACGGGTACCGGTAGCATGATTTTGGTTAGCAATATTTTCGTCGATGTCTGTACCTTTACTCGTAATTAAGATGCACATTTTTCCCATTATATCATTGTCTTATTGCAAGAAAACAGAAAAAGTATGATTGAATTACAGGCATCAGTAAAAACTAGTAAACAAGATGACACTACTCGTACCCGTACACCGAAACCGGGGTATCTTAAACTCACTAATATGAATATGCTCCCTCCCCCAATTATCGCGTCTAGTTACGGCCCTGACGAATTTTCCTGCGCTATATGCAAACATGTTGTGCTTTGTCAATGCTTTGGTATCAGGTCATAAACTCATGTATAGTCATATATATAGTTAGATAGAATATCTTTATGAGGAACATAGGGGAGAATACGTTAGTGGTAACTATGTAAATATTGTTTTTTCCCTGTTTAAATAAAGCATGTATGTATTATATCACGAACAAACGTGTAACCACATATTTCGTTCTGCGCAACCATCAGAGATTGTTATGGCTTTTAATATGATCTCAAATCCTACTGTTTCGAACTGGTACCCTTCCCGAAATTAACGTTGTTCACTTATGGCAGTCGATTGAAGGTTCATCGATGCGCTCCCGCCTATACAAAAACATTAAACACGGTACCAAACCACATGACCCAATTGCTCTTTAATGATTTGAGTGTGGTACAATTCTTAATGGTTTATTTGACTGTTTCCGGGAAATATCACGTAGGTCAAGGTTCCGTGAATTTGAAAGTTCACAAACATCTGGAATGCGCGGTTTTGTTTATTCACATATTTCCTGTTATCAAACTCGAATTAACATTCCAAAACTCATTAGCAATTGATGCGCAAAACATAAAGGATATCAGATAATACTTTGATAACCCGCAATCAAGGGGCAACATATAACGTATTCACAGTGACGTCAACATTGAAGGTGTGGGGGGGAGGGGATTTTCTTGAATAGAATATCGCGGATAAGATGAATTTGCACACGCGCTTATATTGTTACTGCGTGCGTTAATAATGACATAAAATTGATAACTGCTTGTGCAATTTTCTGCAGTCTAATGTTTCATGTTGTCTGGATATGTACTTTCTTTGGAGACACCATTTGCTTCCCGATAAATCGGAAAATAATCAAGATAGTGACTCTGATTGATTTACTATATTGACATATGACTGTTGACATTACTCAGTTTTTAGTCTTCAACAGGGTCTTCAATATTTGAGTGAGTCATGCTTTGGAAATGACAATACATTTTTATTACCCAACCCACGAGTTGTTTTATTTTTCAGTTACCCAACACTTTTCTCTTCAGTGCCACCCCAGCCTGTGTTCCAGTCCACTACACAACTGTGTAATGAACTGGAACACAATCCTCCATAAATAATGCCGCTCGATTCCTTGAAGTGATTTTAAAACACTTCTCTATAACACCTCGTATTTCAACACACTTTTCATAGTTTCAAATTAGCCCGTGGTAAATTCCAGGCGCCTGCCTTTTGATATCATTTTATGCGATTGCTGAATGGAATTTTTGTAAAACAGATTACAATGGCTATTACTTGTAAGCCTTAATTGCATCCTTGAAGGATTATTGAAAAGAGAAAATTTGGTTCCTAGGATGTGAAAAGTAAAATTCTATATGAATGCACGTTTAGAAATACCATAGTGACACGGTTAAGCTAAGTAAGGTATATAAAATTAAAAAATCAAAGTTGTACAATATTAAATTTTTACAATGCACGTCATGGTATCTATAATTTATGTCACATGGCCGGATGTAATTTGGTAAATAGGATTGTTAAAGATCGCTTAAGATTAAGGGGTATAATGGCCTAAGTAGATGCTCTTGTGCGTTCAGTATTCGATACGCAAATTTATTCTGTCGTATTAAAGGACATTGGCAATAAAAAATTAGTATGTCTCATTCAAAAGAACTCTTAAAATTATATATTAAACTCTATTACCAATTTGTCATATCTTGCTTAGTTCTCGAAATATTTAGACCGAAATTAATGAGCTTTCCGCATAGTTTAGTATCAACTATAAAACACCCAAATATATAAACTTGTAATGAATATTTTTATAAAATGTATTTAACATACCATATATAGGCGGCCATTTTGACGCTGAAATACGAAGATGGTGACACTGGCGTTGCATTCTGGACCGACAATGAACCCTACGAAGATAGTAAGTTGATTTATGAAAGTTGTTGAATTGGCTCGAGTTCACATGAAATAATACTAACAGTTTGGGAACTTCAGCCAACGGCATAAAACAAAGCCTAACTTCCTTCTTTTGCCATTTGGGCCAAAGCGTACATTAGGCTACTTAGCTACTAAACTTTATTTACCTCTTGAAAGAACTTGTGAACTATTTTGAACAACGCATAAGTAACAATAGCAATAGTCGCCGTGAAATCATATAAAACAGTCCAAACTGCAAAGGACTTCGAACGTAACTGTTAGCGTGGTTATGAGCTGTGAAATGATGTAAATAACGAACAACTACGACGTACTAGAATGCTCAGGGTTTCCCATGTTTGAAATGTGTACAAAGCTTGAAAATCTTTGGTTTGCCTTTTGTGAACAGAGCAAGAACTACAGTATACCGTCTTCAATTGCGGGAACCATTGCGTATTATACAGTGTGTATAAAAAAAACGCAACCTCGGAATTTCCTAAGAAATCCACTTTGCAATCTTAAGCATAAAAGATTTTAGGCCCCTGGAAATTGAAATCGATTTGCTAAATACAATGTGTATAAAAAAACGCAACCTCGGAATTTCCTAAGAAATCCACTTTGCTGATTCTTAAGCATAAATGATTTTAGGCCCCTGGGAATTGAAATCGAATTGCTAATATATCATATTGTTGTTGTACTGTACTTGTTAAATAACGTATTAAGGCGTCATTAAATAAATGCGTAAATTTTGCTTTATACTGTACACTCGCGTGTGCAGTAATTTTGACAGTTGTGCTATTTTAAATTCCCAGGCACCCTAAAATCTTTTGTCCTTAAAACAATGTCGATTTCTTGGGAAATTCCGAGGTTGCGTTTTTTTTATACTGTACACCCGGTACAAGGTGCTCAATAAAGTATAGCCTTTGAAATCAAGCCTTTGTTGGAATTTGAATGCCATATTACAGTGTTGAACCGACGGGTGCCTACGACAGAATACAGGGTGATGAAAAAAATGTACACCCTTTCAAATTCAAATTAACCGTAATATATTGTAGTAATTTGACAGCCGTATAATTTCTCGAATTAAAGCTGGAGTAATACGAGCAACAAAATTGCTGCAACTTGCAACAAAATCTGATTTCAACGCATGTTAAGTAGAAATATTGACACATGTTGCCTCCTGATTTGTAATGTGTGTGTGTGAACATTTTCAATTAACATGCGTTGAAATCAGATTTTGTTGCAAGTTGCAGCAATTTTGTTGCTGGCATTACTCCACCTTAATGAATGCGTGAAAACACAAGGTCTTTTGCACATGGAAATTTAGGATAACTTCTATTTGTATGTGAAGTTGTGAACTAATATACAACTCAAAGAAAAATGTTTAAATTAAGCATTATTCAAGTCTGCAAAATGGGCCAGCTTATACTGCAGAGCAACGAATATTTAAAAGTTATGGCTAATTTGAATTTGAAAGGGTGTACAGTTTTTGATACAGCCTGTGAAGCAAAAACCTTTAAAAAACTCATTGATAATTCATGAAGAAAACACAAAGAAAAATCATAAGCGTGTCGTATCTGTATATGTGATACAGATTCACGTTGATTTACATAAACTTTAACATTGATTTTCTCGGCTTAGACAAAATTTATTTTTAAAATTACATCGCCAATGAACTCATAAGATGAGTCGTTTTTTAAGTTGTTTACAACATTCGCGTCCGTGTTGTACCGGATATACAAACTCTCGCCTTCGGCTCGAGTTTGTATATCCGATACAACACGGCCGCTCATGTTGTAAACATTACATCCAATACAATGTATATAAACATATATCTACTCTCAATTTAGCGAGCCGATCGAGAAGTCAACTTCTGAGACGTGAACATCAACAGAACAACAAACGGCTGTCGTCGATCGGAAACAAAACATTCACGGAAACGATGATTCAGAGTTTGAACGGCGAGAAGCCTGGACATCACACATTGTACAGATATAATAACAAAGATGTCCTGCGCAGCTCAGCTAACGACAGGGCGCGCGAAGGATTTCGGTATTGGGTCTTGGAGAAGCCCATTCACAAAGGTTAGATCATAGCAATGCTGTTACTACAAACGCTACTAATTTAAGGGCCTTCGCTCGAAAATTCTGCGCTTATATTGTCAGGTAGGTATATCCCTTTCAATGCGCACCTGCATGGCCGAAAATCATGGACATGATTATTCTGTTTCCTTACTAATCATACAGAGGGCAAAATTACTCAGATATTATTGGCTAATGAGGAGGGCATTTTTTCTTGATTCAGGGCAAAATTACTTGTACCTGATTGGCTGAAACGCAAGCGCGGGAAGTTTGTTGTTTTAATTAATAGCAATAAAAACAATGGCTTCTCGCTTTGTCGTCGCGGATAATGATGTTAATGAAGAATTAAAAACTTCTAGTGAAAACTTGAACACTAGAAAAAGTACAAATTTATTGGTTGGAATATTTAAGAAATGGGCAGGCAGGGCAGCATTAAGAAACGTCGGTGAAGACATGGAGACATATACGAGATTCAAGGACTTGACAAGTTCACAATTAACTTACGAATAAATTTTGCCCTCTGTGATTAACAAGTAATCGCATAGTTCCTCGTAAAATTAAGGTTTAATTTCACTTGTGTTTTCAAAGTTTCACAAATTGCCCTCGTCGCTTTGAAAACACGCGTGAAATTACACCTTAATTTTACTCGGCCCCGCATGCGATTACCTACTACTAATTTGAATATATTAATGTTGAAATATGGCTCCTGCAGTAAGCTAATTTCTCATCCAATTTTCATCCAAATTGAACCAAAATCAGTTAATTAATTTGTCCTGGGACTATTTCTGTTAGCCCCGCAAATTTTCGTATAAATACGTTGGGTATTGTTTGAGTTATCGTACTGACAGACAAACACACCATCACACATGCAAACACGACGGACCTTACAGACCTCTAAGGGCGCTTTCCATTTAATGGCCTGACCCGAATTATTTTCTCTGTATCAACGGAAAGATCTGGTCTATGTAGCGAAAATGGACCTCATTCTAATGTTATCTAAATTCTCCGGTCAGATAGGTCCGAAGCCCAAATATTTTGTGTTCCATTGGCAAAAATTTGACCCTGTTCTGGCCCGTGTTAATGGTAAGCGCCCTAGGAAGAACAGCTTATATACATAGATCTTGTAAAAATGAAGTCAATCTAGTTCAGTTAAGTTTGTCGTAATCTGATATTAAACCATGTTTTTCTATATATTACAGGAGGAAAATACACAACGGGCGCAAGGACATCAGTCCTAGGGCTTGGAAAGTCTTTCTTCCCGTAAACGATGCTTAACGAAGCGTTTGTGTGAATATAAGAACAACTATATGTTGTTTGTGTGTATATAAGAGTGAAACAACAAGGGCTAATAGTTAATACCATCAGCAAGGGCACCACAGTCGACCACAGACTATAGTTGTCGACGACGTTGTTATTGTTGACGACAAAATGTTGTCGACGATTAAAATCAGGTGTGTGACAAAAGTTGTCGACTAGAAACTTGACTTTTAGTCGACAAAGGGTTTTTCTAGTGAGTTAGGAGTAGCTATCGCACAAAACTATTAATAGTGGGCAAATAAAAGTTGTCCGACAAAAAGCTAGCTGTCATCGACAACAAGTCACCCTACTAATAGTCGGTGGAGACCTTAAAAGAGTGCATGATCAGATGTCAGCTCAAATTGGCAAAGACATTCAATTTAAATTAGATTAAGCATTGCATTTAGAAAATATCTTATTGACGTTGTTTTAAATGTTCTCCTGAGGTCGGTTGTATAAAAAGGTATTTAAAGTTAATTAACTACAGTTAGTGCAAAAATTAACCAATCACATATAATTGTGTATTTTTGAGTAAACTACAAAATTTAACTACAAAATATTAGTTAAGAAGTGGTTAAGAGGTTTTATACAACCGGCGCCTGTTTGCACATTATGAATTACAGCATTGTCGTGGGAATAACACTTCTTTTTTGGGAATCAAAAATCTCGGAATCTTTGTCTCAGCAGAGTGTTAATGTTTAACATCTTTTTTTCTCTGGTTATATATTTATGTATAATAATATTTTTATATTTATCTGCATGCAAAACAGTTGTTAATTTAAAGTAATAATTATTAGAAATGTCAGTCAATAGAGGCATTGGTGTGAAATTTAATTTGATAAATCAGTTTTGAATAAAAATATCCAAATGATCGCTGTGATTTTCTTAAGAACAGTCACCTGTAAAATATTCTACGAATTTGCTTCCTCTTAATGTCACACCCTCTTGTTTTCTTGGAAGAAAGTCAACGAAAAATCAATGTAATAGTACTGGAAGGAATGCCAATAAGGAATTAACATGATTTGAATATCTTCAAAAGATCCCAAAACATTCTTTTCAGCGGCTATGCAAAGGGACAAAGACTAGATCAAGAGGCAATCTTTTTACATGTCATTTTTTTGCATTAAAAAGCGTTCAAAACCATGGCATACCTCTTGAAATCTAGTTTATAAAGTTGGCTTTCTTTTTAAATGTATCTGCATGACGTCTGTGAAACATTAATACTAGTAAAAAGTTGTCAATTTAAAATCAATGACACTTGAAAATTGACGCCATATTCGCGGCATGATTGCAATTATAAACAAAATTTACTGACTTCAGACATCATGCATAATGCTAAAATCGCTTCATTTTACCGGAAAAAACAACGCGCTGTAACGTGCTTGCGAAAGTCTATTGACTTGCATTGAATGTCTATTCCGCTTACCACCCATTGTATGAACCGGAAGCTACAAGCTAATTATTTTAATTATTCTGTTAATAAGTTAAGAAGCGGAAATTAATATGAGAGTGTTTTTTAATCCGTTTTGTAAAGTCAAGTGCATTCGAGTCGAAATATCGATACCTTGACTCGGGTCATTATACTATTTTTTTACAAAAAAAAATTCTCAACAAGCTATCATTAAAAAACTATAAGTGTTTCGTCAAGTGGGACAAGACGGTGGTCAAATAATCTCAAAGAAATTAAGACAGTTGTCAGAGTGACTATAAATTATTCACTATCATATGTATTAACTTTGTGTTTGGTGGAAATATTTTTTGAGACGGTATTATACATCAGTAATTACAGTAGTGAGCTGACTACAGTATGATTCTATACTTAATGGTCTTCTAATCCATTAAAAATTGCTTGACGCTGCATCATTCTGAACAGATTCCGACGGACAAGCAATGCAGCAACAAACAAGTACATACAGCTATATCTACTGACGGGTCAACTTCATAGTTTAAGTCAACAGAGAATTTTGAAAAATTTATTTTTAAAGAAAGTTAAGGGAAGATTGGTAATAGCTATCTTTCAATTCGACCCAGCAATGACCACTACAAGATCTAAATAATTTGAAGTTAAATGCATAGTTAAATGTCTGTGGGAGCCTTGTGATCTGCCTTCAGCATGCATTTACTGAAAATTTTCGCTGGAATTCGAGGTTCAACAACACATAGCTCAATCTAATCTCTGTATAATTGCTGCTAATTTGCTTAATCATTTCGTCTCGCAACGCCTCGATAAAATTTGAAAAAGCGATCTAATTTTAGGCAGTCCTATATAATATTATCAGTCCGACTATGCTACTCGCATACTAATCCTATCAACGTTAAACAAACATTATCCAAAAATACTTCAAAAAATTATTACACAGTGTGACAGAGACGTTATGAAACAATATTTATACTTGATTTTGCACGCACTGCCCTTGACATTGGTTATGACAAATTGGTTACTTGGGAGCCGTTATCAAAGTTAAATTAAAGCGATCTCTTACCGTTTTGAGACGGTTCCTTGGACAAGGAATTATTTAACGAAAATTTTATTACTGCAAAAACCCCATAAAATAGTAGCATGTCACATGGCGAAGGAGGGCCGAGTACAGCTCTCTAGATTACACGTTATTTAGAGCTGTACTGGGTAATTAAATCTAAAACAAAAAAATTTGCGAATTTGTAAATGGGTTCCTAAGAAAAGGGACCCAACTAGGTGATGGGGAATTGCAAAACACAGAACATTATGGGGGACTGGGGATCCTCTTCTAGAAGAAGTTCCTACTTTTTAGCCTTTCTTGCATTTTCGGACACAATTTTTGATACATTCCATCTTGAAAGATTGAATATATTAGGCCATGTAAAATTCGATATAAAATTTGCGCTTATCGTGCTTTTGAACAATTTAAACATAATTTGTGATAAATTATGCACTCCTTTGCAATTGATTCCTTTTGCTGATCACTGAACTTGGGACATACAGTTCAGCACAGGTTTATGCAATCTTATCATAAAATGTCCACGAGTCAAGATCATGACACAACAGCATCAGCGAAACTATAGGGCGTTATATTTTGAATATTTTTTCAAGATCCCGCTGTGAAGTTATGGTCGGTCCCATGGAGCGGTCTACTTTAACAAATTAACTTTATTGTTGATCATTGTTCCACAATGAATATCCCATAACAAATACCGCAGACATATATACTCCTCCAACCCGACATTGTGACCACAGTCACAGCATTTCGTTTCCTATCATAACTGTAAAATGTGATTTTAAAATTTTTCAACCCCTTGGAACATTCATCACCGACTAGTGTGTCACTCTTGCGCACGTCGGCAAAGCAAACAGGGCACATAAAACGTAAATGACCATTTTTAATGTCGCAATTACTTAAGGTGACGGTCACGACGTGCCGCCGTAAAGAACGCTATGGTATAAAAACCGGATTCATAAAATGGAATCTGAAGTTGGATCGTGAATCTCGAGAAAGAGAGATTAAAAACAGAGATTTGCTGGAGACGTTTCTAAAATGCGCTATATAGTTTCGATAGTTATGTAAAAGCCCGTTTAAGGTCCTGACACACCGGCGCGATTCGACAAGGCGATTTTTAGTTTTTGAAAGTTAATAAAACAGCCAATGAGAGCAAACAGCTTAAAAGATATGTAGACCAAATAACTCAAAATGTTATACCGCTTCTAAATATTTGGAAAATTTAAACTAGGATCAAAGTTATCGTTGGGTGAAAATCGAAAAATCACGTCGCGTTGTTGAATCGCGTCCGGTGTGTCTGGACCTTCACACTTTTTGCTGCGATTTCTGGTGCGATTTTCTTCTTCTGATGGATGTGAACGAGTAGATGAATTGTGAATGTCCTGAGTAGATTAATTATCGTCAGTGGTCATCTGAACATTCATAACTCATCCACTCGTTCACATCCATCAAAATACGAAAATCGCACTAGAAATCGCAGCAAAAATTGCAAGTGTAAACAGGCCTTAACGCGGACAAACGATTTGGCTGCTGGGTTTGTCACAAGTTGTTTACAACCTGTTACCAAATTTTTATGTTGCATATGAAGTGCGATCAAGCGTTCTTGGAATAATTGTAGCATGCATTCCGCAAAGCACTGGCTGGGAAGAGTATTGGATGGATTTAACTCTACTCACATGAACAAGTTCTGTTTACAACATCAATGAAATATGCCATGGATCACCACATTTCCACTACCTCTGCATGATCTAACCATGCCTAACTCAGAAAGACTTAATTCTGATTATATATATATATATATATATATATATATATATATATATATATATATATATATATATATATATATATATATATATATATATATATATATATATATATATATATATATATATATATATATATATATATATATATATATATATATATATATATATATATATATA